CACTGATGATGTCACCTCGATTGGTGACGAAACGTTTGCAACAAAATTGCGAAGCTCAGCGCACAGTTCAACAGCTATATTGTTCTGACGGTTTATTAACCCGGTTCTGACAAACGTGGCGAAAGCAACAACTGGCACGTCACCGTTCTTAAGACATCATAAATTGCTTTCCAGAAACCTCCAAGGCAACCGTAGCAGTGTGTCTCGATATTAGTAATCCCTAAGACAATTTGGTTGTTTAAAGAGACTAGTTAGTTTCATTATGAGAATACTTCGCGCGTAGTAATATGGAGCCATACGGTACGGATAGACAGCCACTGCGCAACGCGTAGCGCGCCCGGTATCCGGCCCGAATCCCCGATTCTCACCATTCCGTGGATTCACAAAGGGATCCCCGGTTGCTAAAGTGAGGTAGGTTCCCACGGGATATCGCATTTGGTATCTCTTCAGGAGCGCGCAAAGTTTACCTTTCTAAAATCATTGTCCATTACTGAAGGACTTTTGTAGATCTTCTATTTTCCGTGTTCATTTACTGTACGTCTATGCAGTCGCTTACTTGGTTGAATGGAACTGCACACACAACCATGGCGATGATTCGCAAAGAAATATTTATTATATCAAAAGAGAGAAAAACCCACATGTGAGATATGCATCGATGGCGTGGTACATTTCACATGATCACCGGATACAGCCGACTAGGTCGAATATCCCTAGAAGAGTGGCGCTTGGTGATGGCTCTTGGTTTGGACCTTAAAACCATGGATTATCATCACATCCACGGATCCATAATGAAGAGTGTACCAGGCTGATTCAGTTGGCCATCAACGACCCAAGTCTAAGAGAACGGCTTTCCAACTAGTCGAGTGGGCTGAGGAAGAACTTTGGACAGTTGGACACATAACTATCACGTCACTGGCAGAGCCAGTGAGTGGCTTCACGTTATCTACTGTAGTTTCTACTCACACGACGTGATTATTGCCAAGAAACTTTTGGCGCTTGTAACCCGTTAGTCGACAGATGAATGGCTCCAAAGGGGTTAAAGAGACTTACCAACTATACGTCCACTGCTATTCACTGTCGTATCGTTTCCATGGTAGATGACTTCAAATGGTGGGGTAAACTTTCCCGTGAGTGCCATTGGAGTCCAAGTTATCTCTTAAGTTACTGTATTGTCTACTTTACGCGATCGATTGCAAAACACTAGCGCAAGGAGAGTACCGCTATTCTCATATGGCTTGCATAGAGGTTACATCAACATCCTCATAATTATACACCTCATATGCAGATGGAAATCCCCCAGCTATTGTGTCGAGATAAAAAGAAAAGAAAAATCATGTGACGCACAACGGCACCGACCTCAGTAACAGATGCACATCGTTCCGGAGAGCTAACCGTCGACTATCGTGAAGCAAAAATCGAGTTATACTACATCTACCGAATGAAATCGTGGTTGGAGGGGAAGATAAAGCGGGAGGGGGATAGACAAAGGAACACACAACACCAACGTCATCGGGGCCGGCTCCTAGTCATATCAGCAAGTGTATACAATCAAACGTGGTCATCCTCTTTAGAACCCCATCAAGGTCGTCAGGATTCACCAACTGACGTCAACTTCAAAGTGAGGGTTTTCATCTCTCTTGACCAAGTCATCGCTTGATCACCCCTCCTCCTCTTCCAAGCGCACGCCCGGTGCGCAAACAATGCACTTCGCGGGAGTCGGTGTACTGGCATGCGTAAAACGTGGCCCAGCCATCGCAGCCTGTTGAGTGAAATAATAGGTGCCGAGCAGTTCATTCGCTCTTCCTGCACCAAATACGCGAAGCCGAACACGCTCACTGCTCACGTGGTGCTCCCACGCGATATGAACTAAGCTGCGAAGGCGACGATATTCGGATGTGACGAGCGTCTTCATGTCTGTCGATCGGATGGACCAAGTTACACAACCGTATGAGAGGATTGAACAGACGGTTGCCTTAGAAACACTACCTTTTAGGGCGAGAGTAATATCGCGTCTGCGCCACAGGTGACGGAGATTGTCAAAAGCACCTCGAGCTTTCGCCATACGGTTCGTAACCTCAGCTCCGATCCCACGGACGCTAATATAGCTGCCCAGGTACTTGAATTTCTGAACGAATTCTAGCTGATCATCATCAAGTGTCAGCGCAGGGTTGAGTCTCTGCGAATCTTGGAGAGGACTTTGCATTTCGATGGAGCAAAGCATAGTCCAAAACGATTGACAGCCAGTACCATTCGGTCCAGTGTTGCTTCGTATGTTTGAGCGCGGTCACATATGAGGGCAATGTCCTCCGCATACTTCAAGTCAAGAAGTCGCTCATCAGGAAGTTGCTCCACACCTTCTAGTTCGTGTCCAGCGAATGCAGTTTCCATGACTTCCTCAATAGCGAAAATGAAGAGGAAAGGTGACAGAGGGAAACCTTGTCTCACACCGTTGGTGATACCGAAGCGTGGCGACAGTTTGCCATCAACTCTCACTGTGTCCGATCTATGCCCGTGCATCTCTTTGCTAATGTTTCCATATTCATCAGGCACACCTTTTCTTAGCATAACGTCCCATAGGGCACATCGATCTACTAAATCGAAGGTACCTTTGAAGTCGTGAAACCAGACAACGGTTGGTAGCCAATAAACATGGCAGTGCACCAACAATTGACGCAAAGTGAAGATGTGTTCGATGCAGCCTTGATTTTTGCGAAACGCATCTTGCAGTTCGAAGATCTGGCTTTCACGAGTGCCAGTCAGTCTGCGGAGAACGACAGAGGTAAGTTCTTTGGAGGCAATTGAGATCAGACTGATCCCTCTATGGCTGCCGCATTCAGAAAAGGAGCCTCTTTTGAAAATTTTGATTATGACAGAGCGGCTCCAGTCTGTCGGAACAGTTTCCTGCTCCCAAAGTCCCATTAGCAACTCGTGTAAATCATCCACCTTAGCAGGTCCCCTGCATCTATGGAGAGCTGGGGGAATTCTATCTGCCCCGCGGCCTTATGGAATTTCAACCGTCTGATCTCTCGTTTGAGTTCTGCGTGTGATGGCGGATCTAAGGAGACGGCCCATGGAGAAGGCCACTCAATGCCCGAAAGAGAAAGCGATAACTCAAATTAGTTAAACTGCCTTGCCAAGTGTTCAGCTCAACGCTCTAAGCCTTTCTACAAGCTGTTGATCGTCAGTCCACTCTCGCCACGTATTGCCTCGCTAACAACAGGTCTTCTGCTGTCTGTTTGCCGTATCAGACGGAATAAGTTACGATGATTACCAACGACAGCGGCTGTTTCCATCTCCGGGGCACGATGAGGCCACCAGGCTTTGCCGTCTCACTTCAGGCTAGCACGCGGTTTTGCCCTGAGATTTTTGCGAGTCTCACTGTATTCGCTTCCAGCCGGAATACGTCGGCGAGCATCCATAAGTTCCAGAGACTTTGTAGAGACCAAATGTTTGGGTTGGCAATTTGCTTTGCTACATGAAGGCATGCCTACTAACAGTAACGTTTGACGAATATGCGACCAGTAATCTTCAACGGTGTTTAGTGGACGCTTACTCAGCCCAGATTCCATCGTAGTTTGATACACATTCAGAACACCTGGCTTCGTCAGTTAAATTATATCAGTGCGCTCAGAGCAACATTGCGGACGTCCGCCGAAACGCCCCCGTAGGTCGGCACACAGGAGAGCGCGATAGGAGTCCACGCTCGTGCTCCAAATCGAGCGACATTTTGGGCAATCCTCTCCAGTGGTAACTAATCGCGAGCTGATCGGTCTGCGTCCATGGCTGGCCCGAGACTGATGAGCGCCAAATCACTCTTCTGTGGGTGATGCGTCGAAAGGTAGTGCTCGCGAGAAAGAGACGCGCATCTTCACGCAGGTGTAGCAATCGCCAACCGTTATCATTACGGCAGCGGGGTTTTGGCATTGGACCACAGGCAGCTCGTTTTATGGAGTAAGGAGCCACCTTTACTGCAACCCCCAACCTCGAGGGCCAGGAGACTGAGTTTTGTGGTCTCACCATTGACCAATCTAGTGCAAAAACAAGACCCAGCATCATCACTGAAGCACACAAACCTTCGCACCACGTTAAGGTCCAGTCTCATGGCGATGGGATAGAGATTACTGTTATATAGTACTCTTTTTGGTCCCTTGCGGTTTCATGTGTGCTCAGCGAATCGATTGCCTCGGAAGTAATTACCGTGTTATTAACGTGACTGGTAAATTCAAATGAGAAAATAAAAATTTTACAGACTTGGCCATGATTGGGTTGGCAGGCAACTAATCTCTCTCTTTCAGCAGACAGAAACGCAAACCTGGACACCTGTTGATCAATTGCAAGTCGCACATTTAGGCAGCCGTTCTCAACAACTGTTGGTACGAAACTTTGCCCGCTGGTTTGTATTACCGTATTAACAAGGTAGGATAACGTTTCTAGTTTCTCCTTGGTCTAGGGAATTTGAACTGCCGAGGAGTTTGTGGCGAACAACTCATTTCTAATTGGCCGTCAAAGGTGCGATTGAGCTGGGTTGTAATGCCGACTTTAAATGAGAAAAATATGGCTGGTAAATACTTGTAACCTACTAACCCTTATATAGGATTGTGAAAATAACGTTGTCGGCTGTACTGCAGTGCGAGGTTAATGGTTAGAGTATTCCTCGAGGAAATTGCTGAACTCGTAATTGCAAACCGCGAGAGCGACATCTACTTCGTTCGCGCAGCGAAATTCCAACAAATCAGACATGATCTGGCGGCACTCTTGCAGTAACTTTTTATTCGTAAGTTTTGTAAAGTTCTTTGATCCAAGGATTCAGCTCATCTTCGGCCAATCTAGCTAGCGTACAAGCCTGATCCACTTTTCGTCATTTTTGGAAGTGAAGTCCGGCAACTAGTGGCACTCCGCTAACTTTCCTCATTGCTTTAAGAGAAACACTCAGCTTGTAAACAACAAGACGGTAAACACATTGTACGCATATGAAACATTTCAATAGGAACGCAACTCACCTTGACAAATGAGAAAGTGAGCCAACAGGTAAGAGACTCGTCGCATGCCCATCAAAGCCATGAGTGGGCGGAATCCGGTCTCCTTGTCTAGACACATGATGCTAGCGAAACAGACCACGAGGCAAGCGGTACTCAGATACTGATGAGCGGACATGACCGAGATGATGAACAATTTGCCTCCTTTTCCCATACTCCATCGCTCGGGGGACTCGGCGTAGATGTCACGTTTTGTCGCCGCCACTTGCAACCGGATGCGAGTGGAAAAAGGGGTAGCTCCACCTTTTCGGTTTGCCTCAGAAACAGGTGTGTTGAAAGATGCAGATTCAGCAAGTGCGTACATGTGAAAAGAGTGGGCCAATTGTAACGGTGTCACTTAAAAAGGGTCACCAATCATCAGTTGAATCTGAATACCATTGATGACGTAAGCATAATTTACCACACCGCACAGCTTGAGATTGAGATATGAGGCGTTGTCAGCTGTAGTTTCGAGCACGCGCTCCATACTAATGCTAATGCAATAGAGCATGCGAATAAGAAACCAATCCAACTCAGTCTACCTTTTTGAGTTAGAACAATGCATACATGCATTTTTGTGACCGTTCATTGATCGGTCCGTGAATTTCTCAGAGCCTCTCTGTGAACTTCTGAACACCGAGGATTCATGGACCACTCAAAAGCTCAAAGGGGCATGTAATCAAATTCAGGCGTCCCCTGCCGAAAAACAATAACCCAAACAGATAAGCGCGTCTAGTTCTGCTCCCACAAGTTCATCACCGATTTCGCTGAGGCATCATAATCTCATGATCTTCCACGTACCTGAGTCAAAAGATGAAAAGCCTCAAATACGTTGTGATCACAATGTTGAGTTCCTCCAGGGGCTCGTGCATAGACTTTTGAATGTGAATGAAGGCAATGTGACGAGTCAACAAGTAAGCCGATTCGGCCAGAAAACTAACCAGTCATTTCGACCTCTGGGAATCACCTTTGCAAATCACAATATGCCGCAGCTCATACTGTCTCGTCTGTCCAAGGCTGAAAGGCATAAAAGGATTCACATTCGCGGAGATTGGGAACCCGAAGACTGGGATCGTTTGAAGACTGCGGTCATTGAGCTTAAAAGCCGTACAGAGGAAGGTGAGACTGACTTACAAATTGCAAATTTTCGGGTGATCAAGAAGGGTGTACGAACCCGTAACAACCGGTTGTTCAACCTCCAGGTATGTCCCGCGGTACCTACCAGTACCTCCGTGAAGAATTTGCCAACGTATGTAGCCTAGTGCACAAACGTGACAAACTGTGCCGCTTCGCTGTCTCGGAGCGGCCGGATGTTTTAGGGCTTGCAGAGACTTGGCTGAACTCTGACGTCAGTCCCCAAGAAGTCGCGTTGTCAGGACACTCTTGTTTCCGAAGTGACCGAAGATCAATGGCTCAAGGTGCTGTTCTGTTGTACATAAAATCAGCACTATCTGGCAAAGTTATTAGCACCTATCGGAACGATAATAACTTATGCAAGCAAATGTGGTGCACAATCCGTCTCAAACACGCAGAACTAATAGTAGGTGTTATCTACCGCAGCCCATTAAACCGTTGGTGCAGTTGGCTACCACATATGCAGCAGCACATGAGTCGCCCTCAGTTCTTACTGATGAGGGATCTAAATTTACCCAAGATATTCTGACCAGACGTTCGGGTTCTTCCCGGTTATGGCGACCTTGAGGCTCAAATCGCTAAAATGACTATTGAAATCGGTGCAACGCAACATGTTATCCAACGGACGTGTGTAACTCCGCACTCGGCATTTTGTCTGGACATAATGTTTGCGAGCTGCCAGCCGAAGCTGAAAGAGATCAATTCTCGAACCTCTGGCGAAGAGTGACCACTGCTCCATTGTAGCAAGCATAGAATTGGTGTCACATTATAACCAACGGAAGGCAACATGCAACTATTGGAAGGCGGACTTCAACGGGCTCGCAAGTCAGACTGATTGGACACTACCACAAAATGCGTCGCTTTATGCCGGTGGGCCATTAAGGACGGGGAAGCTTAATTTGCTGTGTACTCGGTTCGTTCTCCTGAAGTATTCAAAAATCGGACCCGTCAAACCGCATTGGTTTGATACGAAATATAGACAGTTAGTGCGACGGCGTCGCAAACTATGGGATAGACATATCAACTCGGGTTGTGATGAGGATTACACAGTGTACAAAAAACAGCGAAACTTATGTAAGGTCGCAATCATCAAGAAACACCGGCACTTCGAAGAGAAGCTAGCATCCTCGACCACAACTTCACCCAGAAGAATATTTACCTACTTTAAACGTCAACGGAAACCTGTGGGTGACTTATCGGTCTTAGGAGCCTAGACGGACAGACGCTGATTTCAAGCGCGGAGCGCGCGGACGCCTGGCTATGCACTTCCTCACCGTATTTTCCAGTAAATCAGTGACTGTTCCAGTACTGGCACAGGTTGTGCCAGTCTTGTTGGACAGCCTACAATGTGATGCAGTTGAAGTGTATCAGCTACTCGTCAACCTCGATGGTGCAAAGTTCTCCGGATCAGATTGATGTCAGTCACTAATGCTCCAGTCTCCATCGAATGTCATCTCAACAGCCGTGACAAATCTATTCAATAATTCACTCTTGGAAGGATCTGTCCCAACGACTAGGAATGTTCGATAATGAGATCGCTTCCAAAGCTTGATGATCCGAGTAAAGTAGAGAACTATAGACCGATCTGTTTGACTTTGATATTATCCAAAGTTCTCGCGAAGGTTGTGAAAAAGTGTCTGCTGTGGTTCTTCGAATCGATGGATATAGTGACGTCAGCACAACTCGGCTTTACGGAAGAGCGATGCTGCATCACCAATTTGATGTACGCAAACCGTCATTGGCTCCGAGCTCTCAACGTACGGAAGGATGTTAACGTGGTGTACATCGACTTTAGTAAACGTTCAACAGAGTGAACCACGAGGTACTCCTTGGTAAACTGAGAACAAACGGAATCACTGACACGCTACTTTAGTGGTTACACGAGTTTATTGTGCGACAAAATGTTAGAGTACAGGTCAACGACTACTTGACAGACTGGTTCCATCGACCAGTGGCGTGCCTCAAGGAACTACACTTGGACCACTATTATTTCTTATTCATGTCAACGATCTTCAGCAGCAGCTTCAGTCACCAAGTGCCCTGTTTGAAGATTATTGAAAATCTGGAGGATTATTGCGAACCAGGACGACTGCGCTCGCCCCCAGCATGACTTAGATCGACTGTCAACGTGAACCACTGAACTACAGCTCCTTCTTAACGCAAACAAGTCGGAGTTCATAAGTGGCACCAGACGTCCAGACACTACGATCATACACCTCGGACGGCCAGTTGCTCCACTCTAACACATCTGTCAGAGAATTAGGTGTGCTATCTCAACATGATATGAGGTCACCAGAACATTCGGAGAAATTGTACCGTGCGGGACTTCGTGTGCTCTGGGCATTAAGACGCAGTCTCTTCACATGGTCCAAAGAAACCGTTCCTCGCCTATTCACCTCGTTCATTAGACCAATCCTTGAATATGGTGCCCCAGCTTACCATCCGATAACTCAGTGCAAAACTGAAAAAGGAGAAAATGCAGCGTATCGCATCTAGAATGAGACCGAGTCTACGAAAGCTTCCGTATGAAAAAAGTTGTGAAAGGCTCAAACTCGACACACTGTCCTACCGCCGAGTACGAATTGACCTTATTATGACGTATCGAGTACTACACTTGAATCACTTTCCAATACTGCGGCCAATATTGCAATTGTGGGAACCCTGTAACACTCAAGGACACAGTTATAAACTCACACTCCCCTGCATGAACAAAATATCACATCAGCTTTGTACAGAACGAAGAATCGTAAACTTATGGAATGCACTACCAGAAGGACTAATAGAGGGCGATGCTGTGAAGTGTTTTAAAACTGGTATCGTAGGTTATCTCGGAAATCTCTGCTTTTGTGAAACGGTGCAAATACAATGCAAACAAATACATCCTATACCAGGAAATAATAAAACCAATACGAAATACTCACAGAACAAGCATAGACGATTAACTGACCAAACACCCGCTGACGATTCCCAATTAAATGTTTTTGATTTTCCATAATTCGATAGTTGTACAGAAACCTTTCTACTTACTCTTAACTACAGTCTCATTCACAGTCTCATTCCCAGTTACCGGCTTTCATTTTTGCTAAGGTCCGTTTCTTGACGTTTTTGTGAAAGCAGCATTGCTTTAATTTGTTTGACAGGCACACGTTTTTCTTAATGAATGTCTATCTCAGGGACCATTTTCCGTTAATATTGTTTTCTAGAACGCAAGTGATTGGTTCATACTTTCATCGCTTCTCATTCACTTGTCATTCAGCGTCTCCTATGTTGATTGGCTCCTACGTGTTTTATTAACTTTGCTTCTGCCCTTATCTGTACACTATGTAAGCGAAGGAGTCCCCTGGTATATACAAGTCTTTCGCGGTTCCCCTTTCGTGATCTCGCTACGGTAGTGGGATGCGACCATTTGATGGCAATACAATATGATACAATATGATCCTTGAGCCGAAATGCTGCATGCCCAGTTCTCATGAATCTTCCATGTCAGTAAAGGACAAAAGGATAACGTCTTAACTTCACGAATTACTCGGGTGCATTCCCGTCTTCGCACCTTGACTCGTTAGTGGTCAGCTTCTTCGGTTTAAGCCTGTTCGGAGCTCGTTTGAGTGAAATGCAGATACTCCACGTGCGACAGGGTGGGTGCTGCGAATTTTTCCGTGACTAACAAGGACAGTGTACCGAGCTTTGATTAACTGACCGGAGCGCTGCTATGTGCTGGTCATAAGCAGCGGCAGCGAATGGCTACCCTGCTCTTACTAGGCATGGTAAATCTCAAGTGAGTGTGCTAATAGACAGCGCATTGCAGGTGGAATACTGTATCCCACCAGCAGTTGTAGTGATTTGTGCCTGCGGGGTACCGACACAACAGTTGACTCCAGATCCAGAACGACGAGGATGACGACGAATGCAGATGTGCTCACTGGAGTGTAACAAGCTTACCCTAGAAATGGTGAGGCGAACTTCTCAACAATGAAACCTTCACTATTCACTGGTCACTCAACATTTTTGCCTGTGCCTTTAGTAGACCCACACTCATAGTTGTTTCGAGACAAAGGTTTACCAACTACAATGTCTAGACCGGCGAATTCTAATTGCGTCTCACAATTCTTCTACACAGCTGGTATTCGAAAACACACTGACAAAGATTCTACACAAATTCACGCGCTTATATGCCACAATAGTAATGTATGGACTGCCCAGTCCTACTTACTTCGAGGAAAAAATTGTCCACTTGTTCTTTCAATGGAAGGAAAATTTTCGTCGCGGTTGCTTCACATTCGAAATGTAAATTGCCAGCGGAAGAACAATAATCAACACAGGATTGGTAAGACGTAATATTTCAATACACGAAAAGCATACAGTTTGCGGCACAGCAGCTGAGATGTTTCCCACCTCTAGCGGACGTGTAAAATGATGATGATGATGATACAGTTAGAAAAAGCAGATGTCAGCTTTGAACTGAATGCTAATTTGGACCAGAAGGGCAACACAATCTAGAAGGAAGTCTATCTTGTTTGCAATGCATGCCAGTGTTGTAACTCTGGGATGCTGCTGCCAGGTCCCAGACATCGTCATAGGGAACAACACGATTGCTAACCCTTCGTCAGTACCGCAAAGTCAGACAATTGTTCAACGTGTAATTGATAACTTAAGTGGAATTTAGCACTATCAGCTGTGCTGTAGTTCCGACACATTGAGCTAGCAAAGCTCAGGTGTTTAGCAAGCATATGCCCCTTCCTTTGTATCGAATACTGTCTCAATGATCAAACGGCTTAAGGTCATTTCCGTAGGAATTGCAGCCCAACTGAAGATTGCGTGTCGCAAGGCATTCACACAATGAGTGATCCTTTGCTTGTCTTTGCTATTGCTGTGCTCGTTCGCACCGCTGGCTAGAAAATATACATGGCATACCCGCCAGCCGTACACATTAACTCTCCAGGCAAGTCCTCTTTTGGTGCCATGTAACTCTAAGCGGTCGTACATCGGTTGGTAGATTGCAATTGGACACAAACCCATGCATTCGGTCATTCAGTAGACGAAAAAGTTTGTTACATCTTATAACTGTATGGTATTTATTTTCGTTTAACCATTGTGAACGATATTATAATGGAAACCACGAGCGTCTGTTCAGTTGAAGCATAGCAGGGTTAACCAAATCTACACAGGAACGGGAAGTTGAGTCAATGGCAAACGCCTGAACCACTACACAGCAGGTCCCACTGGGATAGGTGAGGCAGTATTCTTCGCTTGAAACCCAAACTGTCCATTTGGCAACTGAACATGTGCACATCGGGCCAACAAGCTACATGCTTGCTTGTAGCTAACTAAGCAGCGATCACTGAGAAAGGGTTGTTTAGGCGCCCCGACTCACTGCCTTAAGACCAAAAGAAAATCAGTGGCTAGCATCCGTAGCCATTTGCTCCCAACACTAAACTGCACCATCAGATTCGTCCAGCTTTGAACTCTTTAGATCGGTTTTGTACCCGCTGGTTAAACTCTGGTTGAGATGACGGTAAAAGGAATTGGATTTGATACGCAACAGTTGCCGGTAAACGCCCGCCTCGCTACATCATGGATGCTTGAGGAATGCCTGTCCAAGGGGCTAATGATCCAAAATCGACTCCATTATTATACTAAACACCTAAAAGATAGATTGCAGCACACTACCTCTCTATAAATACGTAAACATTAGCAAAGCGATGCACGCGCATAGATGGGACAAAGTGAAGGTTGATGGCAAACTGTCGCCAACCTTCAGTATCACCAGCGATGTGAGACAAGGTTACCCGCTGTAACCTTTCCTCTTTAACTTCGCTATTGATGAAGTCATGGAAAGCAAATTCGCTGGACACGACCCAGAAGGTGTGGAGCTACCTACTGGTGAACGACTTCTCGACTTAGAGGATACGGACAACATTTCCCTCATATGTGACAGCGTTCAAACATACCAAGCGGCACTGAACCGATTAGTACTGAGTGTCTATCGTTTTGGACTACGCTTTGCTCCATCGAAATGCAAAGTCTTCTCCAAGATTGGCAGGAACCCACGCCTGCACTGACCCATGATGGTGATCACCTAGAATTCGTTCAGGAATTCAAGTACCAGGGCAGCCAGATTAGCGCCCGTGGGATCGAAGCTGAGATTACGAACCGTATGGCGAAAGCTCGAAGTGCTTTTGCCAATCTCCGCCACCTGTAGCACAGACACGACATCACTCTCTCCCTGAAGGGGAGAGTGTATAATGCAGCCGTATGTTCAACCCTCTTATACTGTTGTGGAACCTGGCCCATCAGGTTGGCAGACATGAAGACGCTTGTCACATTCGAACATCGTCGCCTTCGCAGCTTAGCTCATATCTAGTGGGAGCACCGCGTGAGCAGTGAGCGTGTTCGGCTTCGCGCAGTTGGAGCAGGAAGGGCGAATGAACTGCTCGGCAACTACTATTTCACGCACCAGGCTCCGATGGCTGGGCCACGTTTTACGCATGCCAGCACACCGACTCCTGCGACGTGCATTGTTTGTCCGCTGTGGGTGCGGTTGGAAGAGGAGGAGGGGAGGTCAAGCGATGACTTGATCGAGAGAGATGAAAACCCTTACTTTGAAGTTGGCGTCGGTTGGTGATTCCTGACTACCTGGATGAGGTTCTAAAGAGGAGGAACACGTTTGGTTGGATACACTTGCTGATATGGCTAGAAGCCGGCCCCGATGACGTTGGTGTTGTGTGTTCCTTTGTCTTCCCCCTCCCGCATAGTCTTCCCTTTCAACAACGATTCCTTTCGTTAGGTCTAGTATAACTTGCATTATGCGGCGCGATAGTCGACGGTTAGCTCTCCGGAACGATGTGCACCTGTTACTGGGGACTCTGCTATTTTGTTCTTTTCCTTTGTATTGCGACACACTAACTGAGGTGTTCTCCACCTGCAGCTAGCGTGTATGTTGCTGACGATGATGACACGATCTCTTTTTGGGTGGATAGAAATGAAAGATTATCTCGCGGGCAAAACTTCGCTTCAGGTTCGACCTTAAGTTCTGCTATCGCTGTAGGAATGTTACAAATAAGCACGTGACCGAAGGTGCAGAGCATTGGTGGAGACAGATATCGCTTGGTTTTATAGCGACGTACATTTTATTATTGTTAATTGTGCTCAGCGTAATTCGATTCGGAAGAAGGGACTCACCAAACCCTTATTTGCGATACACTCTGGGCCAGAAGCCAATGTCAAGTTTTGTATATCAAAGGTAACAATAGATTACAATGCATACCCCGTATTCCAAAGTGTTTTACTTTTAAACACGCAATAAAATGGTGCGCTTTTTGGGTTGAGGCAATCACTTCGCGCATTGTCTTTAATCATACACACGCGACCTGTGAAAGCTCCAAATGCAAGTTTACGTGAGATCAACTGGTAGATAAATGGTTCACAACCTACTGCCCTTCTGGTTCGAGGTCACCGTCATCAGGATGGCACGACGAATCACGATCACCTACTAAAATGGCTGCGAAAACTGATAGAATTTGATGAAGCGAGAAGTAGGATCGCCACGGCAAACACGAGGTATCTACGGGACACAGTTCCCCTGGTCAAATCTAATGTTTCTTTCATTGTCCTCATGCGCAACCAGGAGCCTCGCATTCTCAAGTTCTTTGATTCCATTGTTAGCTGTCTAGAGTGACCACTGCTCCGTTCGCGAAAACAAACGGCAATATCGCGGAACCAGTCGGGGTTGTAAGCAGCGCACCAGCGAGAGACTAATCGTCCCCAAATCGATTTCAAGGGATGGTTTTTTGAACCTTTACTAGTTGCATATAGGGAATTGAAGGATATGCATAACGTGTGCCTTCTGCTATTCTTATTTAGAAGCATAAATGTAGTGTCTTTTTCAAGTTTCGCCTTGACGACGGGCGTCAAGGTCACCAGATTAAGGTTTGTAGTTGCGTATACCAGTTAAATTAATCGATTGTTAACCGAAACTTCATACGTTGGCTTTATTCTCGATCACCCAGGCCACCACGATCAAAAGGAAAATTAACAATCTGGAAATACGCGTATGCAGATGCAAATCAGGTGGAGAAGTGGTCAGGAGAAGGGCCAAGTAGATTCATCTAATAGACTGGCTTCAAAAGGGGTTCGTCGCAAGCCACACCAAACCATACGGTCACCACAATCCTATAAAGCATAGACCGTCATTTCACTTTATTGGGACTAGCGCGGAATCAGAGTTAGTCACTTGAGCGCCGCGGCTGCCATCTATCCCCGTTGACTATAGACTAGAAAGCAATAGGTTCCGGAATCTAACCAGTACAGAATAAATGGTATGTGCCCTACTGTTGAGTCACGAAAAGATGAAAAGGCGGTCCAGTGCATTTGTGGATGTACTACAGCTGTTCGTATAGATATAGCTATAGTTAACCGTCATCAAAATGAATCCAAGTTCATGCTTTCATTATTTTAAACAATAAATCTTTTGTACTCAGGAGTAAGGTGTTTTGTTGCAGCTAATTGAGAGTTCATCGCATCCTCTTATAAGTCAGATAATTCTCCAGTATTTTTTATTTATTTCTGACCTGTAAATCAAGACGGTCTTTCGTTGTCTTCTATGGCTAGGTGGATGGGCTGCTGGCCGGCGGTGCAAGCTGCTTGTGGTCATGCGTTCGGATCCATCAGCATTCGATGAATGCGTACTACTGTTGAGACCCAACAAGTCGAAACGGCCTCCTTGTGCATTGGCAGATGTGCGTAGGACCATGTGGTTGGGAAGGTGCTAAGATGAAGTTCCAATTAATAAATTGTTTAATGGAAGGAAGCAAGAAACTGTACGATGGAACTACCAACTTTGAAATGGAGTGTTAGCAGACCATGGTTCTAATCCATGATTCTGCGTTACACCTCCTGGTGGCAGTGTCTCGTAATGCCTGGGCATCCTGTGGTGCCCCATCAGCAAGTGGCCTATGAGTAAGCACTGATAGTAGTGAAAAGTTGGATCGGACTTTGAATTCGAACCCAAGATGTGTCTGTGCTGCGGATAAATAAGTGAAAGGGAAGGAAAATAACATCCACGAACAAAGTGGTGGAATACGCAGGATTCGGATACTTACCCGTCGTGTGAAAAGTTTTGTAAGGCAAATATATGTGATATCCAAAAATGTCGCCGAATACTCGTCGTACCAGGATAACGTAGTATGGGTTTCTCGGGTACAAGACCCCAGTTTTAGTGGGATCAATTCCAAGGTACACGTGCTCCGAGCAGTTGAGAAACATACCACACCAATGTTCATCAGAGGGAACTCGTTGAATATGACTCAGGTGAGCCAGAAGCTTCCTACCAACCGCCTGAAGCTCGCTATCTGGCTGGCTGCCATCGTAACCCACATACCATTTGGGCATATTGACGGGAAAGTCTGACTCGATAGTCTTTCAGAAAAAAAGAGAAAAGAACAGCAGCGCAGCTGCGTCATTGTGTACATTAGTCTTAGACCTGCAATGCTTGATTCCATAATTGCAAGAATTATGTACAGATGAAACAGAAACTACTATGAATCAGTGCGAAGGGGAGTAGGGGGTTCAATGTTGAATAGGCTTAGCACGCAACCCGAAACAACATGACTCAAATGTGGGTACAGTAAAAAATGACCCTTTTTGTTCTTGTATAACAGATTCTTGGATCGCTGCCCAGTCTTTAATTTGTTTCTCGGAAGGGTCTCTGAACAGCAGGTATCGCCTGAAAGCGAACTGTATTTTCCATCTTACGGCCTACATATCAGCACTATCATTACTAATTACCCGAAGGAAGGATAGACTTCAACTACTCTGCCGAAACACAACACGATATTACTTACGAAAAAGATGATACAAATGTTGTAGAATACAACTAACAGCAAATAATATACCTCTTAGTAACATAACATGCTCAACACTGAAGTCATGATTGGGGCGGGTGAGAGATACGTGGGATTGGGTGGGACAGGAACACACATCATCAGACAAGCACACCCCACTTCGCTTCGCTTGTGAAACTGATGCGAGGATATGCTGATGTATTGCTTTTGGACATGCAATTTTACGATAACTGATACCAATTATGAACGTTTTAGTAAAACTCCGTTATGTTTATTAGGTCCGAATCCCCTCGATTCTCTTCGGTATTACGTGCTCGTTGCTCTGGAAAAAGGGGACCGATTACTCCAGTGATGGCAGTGTACCATTTTCATTTTGGTCTCTTAATTTGTAAAAGTTTACACTTTTGATGACGTTAATTTAGTTCGTCTGCAGATGACAACGTAACATGCTGAAAACGCGCCCATTTGCGTACATAAAGCTTATCTTTACTTGAAAACAGCTCGAATTGATATCCCTATCAAAACATAGCACCAACATAAACAGTTACATTGGCAATCTTCTTTTCCTTCGTGGTAGACAATTTACTTTTGACAAAATCAGGGAATTTGCTTTGGTGCCTATGATGCAACTTGTTGTTTAGGGCATAGAATCCCATCCGAGATGAACAAACTCCAGTGAGAACTCATGTCCACATGACCTTCCAACTATGTACACGAATAAGCATGCATGTCTGCTAGGCCACGAGTCACAGGTTTGAGCGCTGTTACTGAGGTCGTCGAATTGCTTTATACTATGCTATTTAGGCCCGAGCATATACACCCTGACTCAGTGCGTCTTGTTGTTTTGGAAAGCTGCTTTTGCGCATGGACACTCGCAGCGTTTACGACCCATGCTTAACGCTGCCGGGACGACCGTGCTTTAAATTTGCATATGGGTGTTGAGGCAACATTAGTGCTTCCGCTGGAGGTCGGTTATCTGGATACCTTTAGTCAACGACGCAGCCGTAGTATATCGTTTTTTGTCTCGCATGTGGGATTATTCCGTTGAACAGTGGCCTTGTTCATCGTCCAGCCAACAGTTAGGATTCGCGGCCTCGTGATCAATCCGAATTCCGATCAGCTAGCCTGCGCGTGTGGAAACCGTGCGAGACTGTCAGTTAGTCCGATTTCGCAAGGAACGGCATAACACCATCCTCAATTGAGTCCACGAGATTGGAGTCTGAAAGGCTTGCCCCCGGTGGGCCTGGTCTGAAATGTCCGTTCGATTTACACTGACAATGGATTTTCACCGAGATTAATAGCGGCCAGCCTATTCGACTGGAAAGTATGGTTACGAGCAAAGCTAAACTGTTATTCTGATGTGCAAGTGTAGATACTGTTCGGGGAACGTAAATGCAGTGGGTTTGTGGTCCAATTTTTCGTACAACAGCGCAACCCATTCGAAATCAGGCCATTTTAGACGCATGCATCGGTTGACTCTATCAGTGAACGATTATTGACGAAATGGAATAAACAAATAAATGAATAGTTTTATTCTTGATAAACAAAACATACCAGTACACGCATGATCAACTGTTTGAAACAACTACAGGAATACTGTAAGCTCATTGACATACTATGGTTGTGGTCGCTGTTTGCAAAGTACATGGTTGGGGAAATAGTTCATGGGTGCATACGCCGTAGTGGTCTTGAAATTTATTTGGAACAATGGAACAATGGTTTATGACGGGTATAAAAGCAATGCTTGACAGGTCCCGTAGGATGATGAGAATTAACATCGTAAAATTAAAAAATCGTATCGATGAAAGTACGTGTGAAATGCATGACTCACCAGGGGATTGGAGATGCACATAAACAAGTAATCCAATAGGACTTTTAAGTGGATTCCGTCCACGTTCGTTGTTCACTAATACCATCATCCGATGGTCGCACGTTATATCACATAGTGCAATCGTGTCAGAGTTTCGTCAAGGCGTTTTTTGAAAAGGGATAGGGTGGGAGCGTTAATTACATGTTCTGGAAGGGCGTTCCAAGGTTGTGACACTCGGAGGGAGAAGAAATTGCGTCGACATTCCAGTCGACTGTACTGTGTGATCAACTTGAACTGATGACCTCTTAGGGATGCGTTTTGACTACGTTTCAAAAGGGAATGACACGTGTGGTTGGGGGTTCTCAGTATCCGGTACACCAATATGAGATCGCCTCTCAAACGACGGTAACGTCCACTGTATAAGTTAAGAGTTTTCAGCCTCAGTGGGTAGGGAAGGCTGGAAAGACCTTTGACGTATTTTGTCGCTCTGCGTTGTGCAGTATCGAGTGCAGTGAGGTGGCACTTCTGCCATGGTTGCCACGCTTGAATAGCGTATTCTGTGTGCGGTCTAACAAAAGCGCTAAGCATTTTCGGAAAGATTGAGGCGTCAAACTTCCCAAACGCTCTACGCAGAAGGCCAAAGTGTTGGTTTGCTCTCTTGGAGGCCTTTTCGGTCTGCATTAAGCACCCAAGATCTTCTTGTACAAGCACGCCAAGATCGCACTCATGAGAGGTCCGCTGTAGAATGTCAGGTCCTAAACGGTAGTTATACGCGCTCTGATGGCGTATGCTCAAGATTTTGCACTTTGTGGTGTTGAACTGTAGCATGTTCTCGTTTGACCACTTGTATGCTTTGTCCAAATCATCCTGCAAGGCTGTGTGATCCTCTCCTGAAGCTATGGCACGCCATATCTTTAGGTCATCTTCAAACAGCAGAAAGTTGGAAGATAGTGCAGCTGCAAGAGCATTTATGAAAACAATGAACAAGCGAGGCCCGAGTACCGAGCCCTGAGGTACGCCACACTGAACTTCGATTGGTTCCGACAGGGTATTTCGGACTCTCACATTCAGGTGACGTTGAACGAGAAATTCGCCTATCCCTCCTAGAATAGGATTGCCGATACCACAATGCTGCAGCTTGTTCAGTCAAATCCGATGGTCCAGTCGGTCGAATGCCTTAGAGAAGTCCAAGTAGGCTACATCCACTCCAACTTCGGCGTCCACAGACTCTGTCCAGTTTGAACGAGCAATCAGCAAATTAGTTGTGCAGGACCTGCCTTGGCGAAATCCGTGCTGCTTCGGAACGAGGATGTTGTTTTTCTCCAGGTACTCCATGAGGGCCTCGGCTACAATGGACTCCATGATCTTGGAGATTACCGGAAGAAGGGTAATCGGACGATAATTAGTTGGATCTGCACGGCTACCATTTTTGTGGATTGGAGTGATAATCCCGTGCTTCCACGTCGTTGGGACGTGCATCTCGTTAAGGCATCGCTGAAAGAGTGTCGCCAAAGGTTCAGCTAAGCTCGTGGCGGAAACTTTCAGCGCTTTCGGCCGAATGCCGTCCGCACCCGGGGAGCTAAATTCGCGCAACGACATCAACCGCTTCAATACAGCTGCAGTTGTGAAGGAAATGTGGTTAAGGCCTGATGGCGGAATAAGTTGCCTAGATATGGTGCAGGATGTTTGCACACACTGGAAAGTGCGGCCGAAGTGTTGTCCTAGGACGTTCGCCGCATCCTGTGCCGTATGTGCTAATCCGAAAGCTGTGCGCAGAGCCGGAATTCCGCGCTTAACGCGGCGAAGCTTATTTATGTGTCTGTATAGTAGCTTTGGGTTAACGCAGAACTTTGACACAAGATCTTGTTGGCTCTTTACCTTATCCTCCCTGACGAGTGTGACACAGTGGTTTCTTTGTGTAATATAGGTGTTCCAAGTATCCTCGCTCGGAGAGGCTATATGGGCGCGCCATGCCAGATCCCTCAATCCCATGCATTTCCGGGTCCTGCTTCTGAGAAACGACTTCGCCTTGTCGGGTCAAGGGATTTTGGTTTTAGATGCCAATGCTACGAGCGCGTTGAATTTGTTGACAAATTTTCCGCATGCCACTTATGGGGACCACTCAGTTAAGAAGGACCAGCTCGTAGCACTAATGAGTTCTGCCAGGTTATCGTAGTTGGTTAAGATGTAAGATTCCACGTTGCTTTCATTAGGATAATCTGCATAACACAAGTATTGGAACAATAGTGTCGCATGATCGCTGCGGCCCAAGGGAGTGGATGTGGTTACTACGTCAATCATCAGTTCCTCATTGGTGAAAACGAGGTCCAAGATGGCCGGTTTATTTCCTGTCCTGAATCGCGTTGGGAATGTGACATGGTTGTACAGCGGTGATCCTGCAATTAGCTCTTGTAGATCGGCTTTGAATGGTTCACTCATGGTGGCTGGGGTTTCTAGGCCGTGCAGATTGAAGTCCCCTACCAGCAAAACATGACTGTATGACCGTTCCAGTAAATTCTTCAAAGCAGAAGACAGGGCCTTGTCCATTTCTAAAGTGGTCATTGGTGGACGATATACGATGGCCAATAAGCATTTATCGCCGTGCTTTAGGTGTAGGCAGCACCATAAGGAGTCTACGGTTTGTATCCCAGGGTCGTTCATGAGCTCGATGAGAAGGTCTGAACGGTAGTAGAGAATTACACCGCCGCCCTTGGTGGGTCGATCGTTACGCAGTAGTGACATGCCAGGTAGTTCGATCTCAGCGT